GGCCGTACTGTACATTCAAGTTTGAACATTCCTCTAAATATTCATGAAAGTTTCTCAGTAATATTTATATTAACTTCTAGTGAAGTGAATGAATGTACAGAATTAAATGTTTATATTTGTTAAAAAATAGGCGGAGGTGGCATAGGGATTGTGGTAGTGGTGATAGAAATATCATTTGGAGAAATGGGTGAAAATAAAATAAACATAGATATAAAACATAAGATAAAAAAAAACAAAATAAACCTCCAGATGAGTTCATTTCATACGTAGTTCTTTATTATTTTGTCTACCAGTAACTCAAGAACGGGTAAGGCGTTTGTTTAATCGTCATTATTTTGCTTATCTTTATTAATAGATTCATCATGTTTTGTAGTAATGTGAGTAATTAGGGCAGCGTCTACATGAGCGGGAGGGGTAGGAACAGTTTGCATCCTATTTTTTTGGGGGTAAGCTGCTTTAATGGGGGTAGGATAAATTTTTTGGGGGGTTATCGATTAAATTTTGAGATGAAATAGAACAAAATTTATAGCTGTAAAAATTAATACTTTAATTATAGTATTATTATAATACAATTCATCGACCAAATCTATATATTGCAAACAATCATACACATTGTTTTCCAAATAAACTATCCTTTTAAATTACATTTAAAAGGTTTAGATATTTCAGCAAGCTCACAATGCCATAATAATTAATTCATTGTAAATAATGGAGGTTTTAATTGAATTTATTATCTAAAATATAAATTATTTATATTCACAAAATTTCAATAGTTGGTAGTAGAGATAGATTAATTTAAGTTATCCTTTATAAATTCTTTGAAAAGAGTATCAATAAATAAATAGGTGAAAATAATGCTAGAGACACCGCCGCCGAAGGCGGCGGGAATTTTTTATGGGGGTAGGCAAAGGTTTTTGAAGGGGGTTTGCATCCAGTGAAAATCCTGTCATGTAGACGCTGGATTAGGGTTAGCCTAGACAAATAAAGAAATCAGACAAAAATATAAATAAACTATTGTTGAAATTAAACAAACATTAAAATAATGTAAAACCGGTAGATGGGCCAATATTAGATGCATATTTCTAGTAGTTGGAAGGATATCATTAAAAAAAATTTTGGGGGACTTATCAAGCCTATTATGATATTCTATAAGTTAAAAAATTACATGATGAATGTAATGTTATTAAGATTAAGGTTAATTAATTGTTAGGTAATTAAAAAATAAGATTAATAAAGGGGGTAAAAAGAAGGTATAAATTATTATATTATAAAAATAATAAAAATTAAATTAAAGGAATTGATAAGGTTTTGAGAAATAGTGGTTAATAGATAATAGAGATAGAAAGAAAAGAGATAATAAAATTTAGTGATAAATATATTCATTAAGGGAGGGGAAAAAAATAAAGAAAGAGTTATTTATAAGGATTGGAGATTATAAATAAGTTAGGATAAGGATATTTAAATATTTGAATATACTTGATTATCTTCTTAATTATTGGTTATGAAAGAAAAATATGAGTATAAAAAATTGTAATGTAAGTTCTGACAAAAATTGTGAGTATGTTCAAAATAAATATACAAGTTGAGTATCAATCCATGTTAGGTATGTGTACACCATCAATTCTCGAAATTCCATTCATCTATTTTTATAAAATAAATAAATAAAATCAACAAAAAAAAATAAAAATAAATACGTACCGATGACATGACGTAGCGATCACATGAAGTAGCGATGACATGACGTAGCGATGACATAACGTCACGATGTCGTAGTGAGGACATCGGAAAATTATAATATAGATATATTAAAAACGATTAAATGCTAAAACAAAATTGTGCGGGAGAAATTAAAAAATTGCGGGATCCCGCTGATGGGGGGCATGGCAACCTGTTTACGATCCTTTTTTGAATACAGCTAAGATAGAATGGGCAAAATCCATCACAACCTCAACCCTATTTCCGATCTATGTGAAGCAGAAGGATTGGGATTTACCACTTGTAAAAACTCCCCTGATTACCTTATTTCGAGTCTCTCACCATGGCTAGATCCATATTTATTGAACTTATCAAAGATCGGGGATATGAATTTTTAGATGTTATTCCATCTACCAATCTCAAACTCGAATTGGACAAAATGAGCTCAGTTATGCTTTATGTATCAGGCTCAACATTCCCTTTTCATTACTATATAAATGCAGCAGTCATACTGGTGATGACAATATGGCGCTTCATCCTTTACATTGCTATCGTAATCCCGGCCGGCAAACTCGACATTTGAAATGCAATAAAATTATATCTCTTGCACTTAGGTCAGCTGGTTTTCCTACCTCAATGGAGCCTTCTGCTTATTTTCCGATAGTAGGCGTCCTGATGGGGTCACACATATTGCATGGTCTCAAGGAAAATTTCTCTTGCCTGGACACTAACTCCCCCTCTAATTTTAACAAGGACGCTCTGAACAGACTCAAAATTTTAAGATCAGCAAATACAGCGCTGATTCCTTAAATTACAATTCATACCCATAATTTGCTCCACCTTAACTACATATGGTGATTTGACTAAAAACTTTTCTAAAGACGTTGGCCGCCTAATCAGAAAAAATTCTGGGAGCCTCGCGAAGGTTTATACTTAAGGCAGATATTATAATATTTTATTTATAATATGAAAAAAAAACTCATATAGTTATATTTAAGTAACAAATTTTCGATGGCATATCTCTCATTCCCAGGACTAATGGTCTTCCCCTAGCCTGGGACTATACCTGTGTTGATTTTGCCGCCAAGTTCAACCTCTCATTTTCTGCCATCGAAAAGGCCGAAATCCTAAAAAAACATCATTAATACCGTGTTTATCCCTATCGTTACCAATATCCTAGGCATGTTCGGAAGTGATGCACTCAATTTCATCAAAACTATAGGAAAAAAAATTAGGCAGATCTTAGGGGACCCCAACGAAGGATTTTATCCAATTTTTTAAGAATTCACTCTTCTATAGGGTGATTTGTACCTTTTTTTAAAACATTTTATAATTTTTTTTATATCCCATTTCTCATTTATACATACATATTTTTTAATTCATTTTTTATATATCATTAGATTTTTTATATATATTTTTAATTATAATTCGTAAATGAAAAATTTCTGAAAATTTGTTACTTAAATAAAACTATATGAATTCAAAAAAAAAATATGAAAAAAATATAATAATTACACAGTTAATTTAATATTATAAAATATATACTAATTACATAATTAGTAAATATATATAATTTTAACTTTATTTTCAGATTAAACAAAGGGAATCAAAATCCCATTCACGTTTTTAAGAATAATCAAATTGATTGACATTCGCTTGGTATTTGACTAACTTATAAGATTGTTATTTGATATTGTATAAAATTCAAATTATATAAAATCTACGAATCTATATTTAAACATTATTTAATTGCCATTGGATATCATATAAAGTTATATATATAATGTAAAAATACCTAACTACAACAATAAGACTATTTCTATATGATGCTCAATAACTATTAATAATGCTCTAAAAGAAAAGATTATAAAGATATTTAATATAAACAAAATATGTTTAACAAATTCTTAGATAGAACTAATTTTCTATTAGCCTTCATATATTCATACCTTGTATCACAAAATTTGGTTTAACAGAAAAATCCTAGGATACAATGTGTCATAATAAAATAAAAATAACATTTAAATACATAATGAATCTTTTCTTAAATAATTATATATATTCATAAAATCTCAATAATTATATTCTTAAGTTTGCAAATCCTAACTTGATGATAATTATAAATAACTCTAAAATTAAACGAATCATAAATAAAATGATAGATTTTAAAAAAATTACACATCTTTTAAAAAAAAATTAAATAAGCTTGAATCATAAATTATCATTCATTCATAGTACATCAGGACAGGTTGAATAGGCAGGGGTGCCTTTGATCGTAAGACACTTCTTCGTATTTTTCGTCCAACTCGTCCAATTCGTAAAATGGAGATTAATAATTTTGAAATGGTAAAATTTAATTTTTTACCATAATCTTACGTTAAATGTTAATAATTCTTTTGGAATGTTAATATTTCTTTTGGAATGGTAAAATTTAATATATATTATTCAAATATAGAATATTTAGCAGGTTTCAAATGGCAAAATATAATTGTTACAGCAAATTAAGAAGATTAATAGGTTTAAAATGGTAAAATTTAATATATATTATTATTCAAATATAGAATATTTAGCAGGTTTCAAATGGTAACAATACAACCTAGGATATAATTTATAATTAAGAAGATTAATAGGTTTAAAATGGTAAAATTTAATATATATTATTATTCAAATATAGAATATTTAGCAGGTTTCAAATGGTAACAATACAACCTAGGATATAATTTCTATAGCAAATAAAGAAGATTAATAGGTTTAAAATGGTAAAATTTAATATATATTATTATTCAAATATAGAATATTTAGCAGATTTCAAATGGTAACTAGCTCTTACACAATATCAAAAGAACAACCTAGGATATAATTTCTATAACAAATTAAGAAGATTAATAGGTTTAAAATGGTAAAATTTAATATATATTATTATTCAAATATAGAATATTTAGCAGATTTCAAATGGTAACAATTTATCTTAGCTCTTATACAATATCAAAAGAACAACCTAGGATACAATTTTTACAGCAAATTAAGAAGCTTATTTTATTATTCAAATTTATAATGTACATGACATATGTTAATTATTTCAAATGTATAAATCGAATACAAAAATATAAACAACTAATATTTATTTAGCATGTATAAAACAAATATAAATTATTTACAATAAAAATTATATATTATCAAATAAATTTGAATTATATATTAATTTAATATAAGCTGATGCTTTATCAGCAAATTCAAAGGGTTGACATGGAGTAAACATATTGCCTAAAAATAAACTGTTTATAAAAATAAAATAATTGATGAAACTAGTTATAGTAGTTTGCTACAGAGAGTTGAGATGGGGCACATACATTACCTAAAATTATATTGATTATAGAAATTTTAATTTGTGAAACTTGATATGGCATTAACAGGTTGCATGTTCTGTGTTACTAAGGGTTGACATGGAGTAAACATATTGCCTAAAAATAAATTGATTTAGTGATTTATTTATAAAAATATTTACCAATATGTGATTTACACTGTTCTATGGTATGATCCTGCATCTCTGTGAACCTACCTGATTGTAAAATACCCCGTCCTAAGCAACTCCTTTGTCTACACCTGTAATACGATGTGGCATTTATTACTCTATGGATGGTATATTCTAAATCATTAAAACATAAAATATCACGTCCTCTTTTGGATTTTTTATTAGTAATTTTGCTAAAATTAAAACTAAATTATTTATATATAATTAGATTGCTAACTTTGAATTATAGTGGGATTAATTCTTCTCTCAAGAAGAAGTTTGATATTGTTTGACACCGTTTTAATTTCCATTATTATGATTAAAATTAAAAATATGTTTACACTTTTGTATTTCCCGCACTTTAATGGACCAATCACAGAATTGGACGAAACTTTACGATGAAGTGTCCATACGATCATAGGCACGGAAATCGTTGAATACCTTCTACGTTCGTGATGTTAGAGCATATATAATATGAAAATACCTACAAAATCAGACAATTTAAGCTTGAAACCCAAGGAAAAAAACTTAGTTGTAAATTTTGAAAACTCATTTAATGTAAATTCAATATATGTCTAAAATATATATTTATTTAATAGAATTGTTTATCCTTATTGCTAACAAATAGTGAAAATTTTCCTCAATATAATTTTGAAGAAAAAAAAACAGGTTAATAATTAAAAAATTAATATATTAATTAAAATTAATATATTAATTTTTTAAAGATATTGAATATGCAATTGAATCTTTTGTTGAAAAGGCTAAAGAAATTGAAAGTTTTTTTATAGCAAAACGTTTTTTACATTCAACATCAAATCAAGATGATCAATTGTTAGAAGTTTAATTTTTTATTGAAATCAAATATATTTATTCATAAAATTTATTTATTATAATAATTTTTATAGTTATTTAATTACTTTACAATTTTGCAATTTGTTATCAAATTTATTTTTACTTTAAATGATTTTAAAATGTGAGTTAGAATTTTGTTATATTTGAAGATTTTTCTAATATATTCACACAATTGAAAAACTTTTTAATATGACTATAAATGTGTCATAGGATATAAGAGGATTCTTTACTGATGGAAACTTTGATAATTTTTATTATTGAAAATTATATTAGCTATTATAGTATATTTTAATTTATATAAGAATATCAAACTAAATAAAATTTGATTTTTTAGAATCCCAATTTAGATTATATGCCCCCCTTTACAGTAAGCTTTATCTACATCAAGATACATTTTTAAGACTGTATCTGTTTAGATATCTTTTTAAAACAATGATCTAGATATATTTGGAAAGTATGATTTAACAACTCTGTTAACACTGGTATATTTATGTACCATGACATTTGTATTTTTTAAAACCTCAACCTTCTAAAATGCCTAAAAACTTGATTATTTCTGATTTCAATCATGTATGTCTAATTTGGATGGATTAAAAAAAAAATTTTAAGCCTGCCCTATGCCTGGGTATTTTTAAAAAAGATTTTTTTTAGGCCCATCCCAGGTATATTTAAAAAAATTAAAATTCGGCTCTTCCCATCTACCCCTAGGGCTGGGCCTGTAGGTTTCTGAATTATACTTTAAAGAGTATTTGTATCTCTTAACAAGAAATTTAAACCTTATAGTTGACCAAAAAACTACTATATCTCTTGCCAACATGTTCGAATATACTTTGTAATTAAAATATAGAAAATTACACCAATTTATTTTTACCATATGATGTGAATATGGTGGGACATCATGGATTTTTACAAATCTAACATAATATAAAAGAATGTTCATAACAAATATAATTATTTTAGATTTATTACAGTTTTTTTAACCCTGATATGGTAATATATAGCACATCAAAACATTTTATTTGAAATTTTTTTATAATTTGTCGTTGATATTGATCAAGTTTATTTATCCCTACTAATTTTTATCCAAATCTATTAAAAATATTCCACATTTTACATTAACCTTGTAATGATTTGGGAAGGACATCTATATTATATATGAATTCATTGCACTTATAGCCATCATATTATAAAATACAGCAAATGATTATGTTTAAGTCATTCTCTTGACACTACAACAAGCTATAATTTGATCCATAATATTGATTACTTTTGTTGAGTTAAAGAAGAGAATAACTTCTGGTTTGTTTGTAGAATTATCAATCCTTGGTTTGGCATGCATTGTGCAAAAAATATTTGCAATTCTTCCTTTGGAAATGAAACTTGCATCACTTTGATTTCTAAATAATGTTGAAATGTCTTCCTTCATTTCCTTCAAAGTGGTAAACTCCTTTGGTAATTCTGTCTTATTTCCTTTGAGATCATATTATATGAGGGCCATCTCACTAGTGCTAAACTGGTCTAAAAAAAAATGATCACAAGCTATATTTATTCTAGTCTTAAATTTAAAAAATGAGAATAATTGTAATTGTTATCTTTGCTCCAAATTTCACACCAATCTTTATTTATTTTATTATTATAACAATTATTTTATATTTGCAAATTTTTCCATGGTTTAGGTAAAATATACTGCCAAAAGAGAAATCTTCCATAAAAATATTAATGAAATAATTGAAAAATAGTAAAATAAATTATGACAAATGACATGGCAAAATATTAATGATAAAAATTTGATATTTTATACTAAATAGAGAATAAAAATTCTTACAGAATCTAAAAAATTGAGTATAAATAAGCGGTAAATGTTACTTAGGCTTAAAATATGAAAAAGATAACCGATACAGAGTTTATTCACTAAAAAACAAGTATTTATAATTATAAAATTTTACCGCAAGGTTGGTTTTATTTTGCTGGTAAAAAAATGGTACTTTTTAATATTGACACTGTTCCCGTTTGAAATTCGTGAATTTTTTAGACGTTATATTAATGGTCTGCAAGGCCCTTTGGTCTTAGGTGAGCCTAATTTTGAAAATTTTTTATTTCGGGCTATGACAAAACATTTTTTAAAATATTTAGGGCTAATAATAATTACGCCTGATGCAGATCTCTAATTGATATTTATAGTTAAAGGCATAGAATATCATTAATATAAAGAAACATTTTTACAATTATAACAAAATGCAAAATGGGTAGATTTTGCTGGTAAACTAAGAGTTAGTAATTTTTCTTATTAATTTTTCATAATACTTTTACCTTTAATAAAAAAATACATAAGGAAATAAACGATCTTAAACGAGAATTGAATAAAAAAGACGAGCTCATCAAAAAACATCAAGAAAAATTGGACAATTGGAAGAATATATTGTCAGACATTCAGATTACAAATCATCAATCTTCTTCAAACTTGAACAGTCAATCTTCCGGAAGCTCTAAAATTATCTCTTCTAATCGAGATTATTCGGCAACGGCTGGCTCCTCAAACTACTTTAATTCTACTCTAAGTGGTTTGTTATCCAAAGGTATAACTCCCACTACGATTCACCACCCAAGTGCGGGGCCTGATATCTCCCAAACACAAAACACCACGCTAAACACGAACAATTATAATTTTGGTAGCCCCGCTGCTCCACTAATAAGGGGACCCCGATATCTTAGTTTTGGCCAACAACCTCTAAATTTTTTAAATTTTACGGACCCATTAAACAGTGATCCTAATTTAATAAACGTTGCAGCGACGTCTCCATTTCCGAGTAATATATCGATCAACCCTTCCTCATCAATAGCACCTCAATCGCAAAATAATATTCAATTGAACGGTCCTTTAGCTTATCTCGAAAAGACCGCTTCCAATATAGTTTGAACGGTTCGATCTAAAGAGGGGGGGGGGATAATTTATCAATTTACACTATTGCATTATGCTTAAATTTTATATAATACACTATTTAACAACCTTGCATTATATCATACACAATTTTGCCGCTTCAAACAGTATCAATTCAAAAAATATGATTAATACGAACCATGGCTGCGCTATAATTGTCGATAGATATCCCTTTGTTAATGGGAAAGGATTTCATAGAAATCTCGACCTATTTATCACATTTCGATCAAAAAAATGTTACCCTATTTTTAACGATCATAATGATTACCATCCTTTTAACCTAACCTATACTAAAAGCCTTCGGAATATTTATTTAATTATCGATATTTTGCTACGCGAAGATTTGTACGTGCTTAAATCTGAATTAGAATTATTGTCCCATTATAATGATGACGATTACATTTTTATATCTCATATAATGACAGTTCCCGATGTAAACGAGTTAGACATCGAAAACATGTCACCACCATTTTCACACGATGATATCAGCCATTTTAAATACTTCCGCTTATCTCTCACGTTAACATTACGAATTTTGTTAAATAGTGAGAGGAGTTGGTACATTATTCGCAAAGAAGATATTCTTATAAAAATACCGGTGCATTTTAAATATCACCCAGCTCATGTTAAGAGTGGATATCTTAACCTTTCGTTAGGTCTTAACTTCGGTAAAGAGTTAACCTCCTATTCTCCTTTGGCCATTGTTCGTGACCTTATGTTTATTCAAGAAAACAAGATATGTTGCAATGTTATACCACTGCGGAATTCTCATTATTTATTAATCTTGAAAACCTCAAACCTAGGTTTATTATCGAACATATCATCTTTACCAATCGGCGATATTTCGCATTTGGAATTTGTTAACGCCGTTAGCAATGTTTTAATATTATTTGCGTTTATATTGATTATGTATGTTAACTTTAAAAGTTGATTATGGGGTTTTTGTAAAAGTAAGATATAATATGCCCTTATTTAATTATAACGAAGTTAAATAAATAATGTTGGAGGATTAAGTTAAACCTTACTATATTTTAAAATAAGTAAATATATAAATGAAATGAAATAATAAAAAAGCATTTCTTTGAATCAACGGTGCATTCCATAGTTATTTCATAGCAAACGAGCTGTGTGTTATAGGAATTGGTTTAGAAAAAAATTGGAGTATACTATTTCGCGCATTTCAGTGTTTACATTCAGTATCCAGGATTTTTCGGGGTAGGAGCATAAATTTTAGGTACTGCCCGATTTTTGAAGGCCTTTTGGGTGGATTACATTGATCGAAATTCGATAAAGTTGTCAATCATAAAATGCTAATTTAAGATAAATTTATTTTTATGTCTTAAAAAAATTAGCTGCACATTTCCTCTATATTCTGTCAAATTTAGAAAAAATTAAATGACTGAAACCTAAAAGCATATATATTATAAAAATATATTACCGATGTTGGATTTACTCGGTTGAAATGCATAAAATCCAGCGATAATTTTGGTTAAAATCTAAGCCTCATTACGGAATTTTATCATAATAACTTTGCCAATAGACTGAATAATAATATAACTAAAAAGAACAAACTATTTTACCGCTTGATATAGAATCAGTAACTATGAATATAGGGTTACAACAAATTTAATAGATAAAAAGTAGATATTGAATGGAAAGATCTACTTGTAAAGAGCGTAAGTATCAGTTTCATGGGCCTGACCGGCCCAAGGCCCATATGGGTCTATAATTATATTTTGTAGCGGGCTTGGATTTTTTATAATTTTTTTAGTTTGTGCCATCTTTCTATTTAAATTTAATTTATTTAAAACAGTTGCTAACTTAAAAAATTATTCCAATTTTATCTTATATTAATAATAAATTAGAGTATTGTAAACAAAATGATGGTCAAGATACCATTTGATATTGTTCATTTTTATTAAATACAATAAATTAAATTTTTGGATATGGGTTTGGGAATTTTTCAATTTAAAATATGGGTCGGGTTTGATCGAAAAATTAAGAGCCATGAAGGTTTCATACCATGGTATCATTTTTTCTTTCAGTTAGCTATTTAGTAAGGGAGGGGGGGGGTTCATCATTGGTTTTGCACGTCATTGCTTGTAAATCTACATATCTTTACAATTTTTCTTATAGGAAATTGTTTTAATGATAAAACACTTGCTTGATTATTAATTGAATCATGTATATTAATTAAATTGCTAATCTTCATCCAGTTTTCCTGTTATTTACTTGCTTAATCAAGAATCAACATTAGATTTTTTTATATTTTATTTAAACGCATAATATTCAACATAATTGCCCGGGAAAGTTCCAAATAATTTATTTTTTGATTGATAGCCAACGTACCAGCCATCTTCGCATTTTTCTTTAACGAACACTATATCCCCTTCTGTTAATTCCAATTCGTCGTCATTTTGAGGGTTGTAAGAATATATGGCTCGGTATCTTTGGAATTCATTTTATTTTTTATAAAATCAATGAAAAAAATATGAATTTGAAATCTTGTATTTTTTTAAATCTCTAATGTTAGATTTTTGACTAGTGAAAGGTCTCAAAAATTTGATTGTTCGAGAAAATAAATAATTTTAGTAAACACCCAATACATTAAAAAAAATATAATACCTAACCAGCCTTTATAAAAGTTCAATATAACAAATGGAGAATTGTGTATTACAAAATTCTTTTCAGCAAAAAAGGCATTGCTCAGAACGATCAGCCAAATGATTACAACACATTCTTATGACTTTCAAAAATGATTTTTAATATGTTAAGATTGCGTTTTTATAACATTATTTCGACTTCTCAGATATTTCGGATCGATGTTCAGCACTAATATTATAGCCAACCCACTTCAAAGGTGAAATCATGGATAAAACAAACTGGTTCTAAAATCTTATATAAATTTATAGGCCATTAGATAAATAGCGTAATTTAAGAGTTACATAAGCCACATTTTTTTATTTGTTATTAATGAAAAAGTATTATTACCTTTCGTCCTTTGTATAGCAGCATTAAAATTTTTGATAAAATTATATTTGAATCAATTTTAAGAATATGTACCTCAATAAGCTATCATTTGAACCCTTGGGAGATAAAATACCATCGGAAATATTCAAATTTTGAATATTATTGCTAAGATCTAAAGCAAACAATATTACAAAATTAAAGGAAAGATGGAAGTAAATAAAATTATCAATTTAAATAAAATGATCATAAATATAATAACAGATAGTCTACATTATATTTTTTTTGTGATTTTAATTAACTGACCAGCTGATAATCAAAAGAAGGAAAATATTAAAAATCAGAAAAAGGACAACATAGTCACAAGAAGTAAAACATTTAAGATATAATAACAGATAGTCTATATTATATTTTTTTTATGATTTTAATTAACTGACCAGCTGATAATCAAAAGAAGGAAAATATTAAAAATCAGAAAAAGGACAACATAATCACAAGAAGTAAAACATTTTAAGATATAATAACAGATAGTCTACATTATATTTTTTTTGTGATTTTAATTAACTGACCAGCTGATAATCAAAAGAAGGAAAATATTAAAAATCAGAAAAAGGACAACATAGTCACAAGAAGTAAAACATTTTAAGATAAGCACACTGAATGACCCTCTATTATGGGTGAATATGAATCAATTGCATTTAAATTTCAGGAGGCAATGCCCTCTTACTCAACAAGTCGATCAAATGACAGGAGGGGTCAATAAATATATTAAATTAGCTAACATGTTTTTAAAGCATGTTTATCAATCTAATTAGGTTAAAATTAATTTAAAAATACATTTGTATCATCAAGGCTATACCTGAAACAAATTATTCGTTATTCGATTCGTATTTTACGAATAAAAATAACAAAATTATTCGAATCGAATATGAATAAGATAAATATATTCATCGAATAATTTTTTATCCATTTCCGATGGAATTATTCGTATAATTTGATTTTTTTATGTTCTAAATTTATCAAAATCGAGTCGTTTAACACCACTATTTGTAATTGGAGTGATCCTTATCTTGGAAAACACAAATGCCATGATTTTATATTATCTCCACCTGAATAAAAAAATTAAAGATATGTTTGAAAAAGAAAAACGTTCCAAATACATGGACTCACTACTGATAATTGGATTTTCAATATAGGAGGAGCATCGTGCTAGCAGTGACGAAATATTTTATGTGATATCATGAATTTAAGAACTATAAGCGACGGTATATTTGATAGGCAAAATATGCGGAAAGCAATAACTTTCATAAGAAACTGTTGAGGTATTCAACATGATACTACGTATGCCATTGTTATTATCTTAAATACTTTATTTTTTTTTATTGGTTATTATACTTTTAATAGTTAATTTGTCTAGATTGATTTTGTGACTTTATACGCCTAAAGTATGCTTTGTATTAATTTGTTTTTCAAATATATATTAGATAAGCGATGATATTAAAATAACAATTTTTTTTTGTTCTATTTAAAATAAAAGATTATTTGATTTATTTTTCCTTGATTTGATTAGGTTTGTTAAAAAGTCCGATCAGAGGCGATTTTTGAAAATGACCCGATTAAGGTTTTAACCAAAATAATATTATATAAACCTGGAGATTTTGCTTATAGATGATAGAAAGGTTTGGAACTCTATTTTCCAAATCTCGAGGCTTACATAATAATATTTTGGCTACAATCTTAATCAGGTCCTTTTTATAAATCGAATCAGGCTTTTTAACAACCTTAGATTTGATTGTAGTAAATTTATATGGAATAAGAAGAGATACCAACACAAACAATCAGATTTTCTAGTTGCTGGAATGGGCTTTGCCCATATGTAAAATTAAAGGAAGTATCTAATATTTTACTAACAATTCCTAGTTCTACTTCTTCGAAAAAAAATTGGTCACTTGGAGTAATATTCTTCGAAGAAAAGAAATCATTTGAAGATCTCTAAATTAGAATATCATAACTTTAGATTGATTAAAAATATTAAAGAAAATGATAAAATAAATATGAATCAGAAGACGACTGCTAAGGAGAGCGAAACATTAATTTGTAGAATCCGGATCAAGGCGTCAGTTTTACGGGAATTTATCAAGGTTTCACAAATTTTGAAATTTCCATTTTTCGACATATCAGAAAAAATAATGTTAAAAAAATTATAGGGACGGGGAAGGGAGGGCGCAAGAATAAGATTTGTCTAAGAACTTCAGGACGGCCCTGAGTAGGGTTATGACTAAATTACCAGGCTTAGAAAAATACAATTTTTTTATATTAAATGATATTCAATCTATCTCTAATACAATAATCTAGTAATATAAATTTCTCTAAAAAATATTCTTACCTTCAACGTTGTTAGTGCTAAATTTTCTAGAAGATGGTTGCCTTAATTGGTCGATAAAAGATTTTGGTATCAGACCATAATTGTTTGCAACCTTGCCATTAAACCAATTGTCATCTAATTCGGAAATCAAGTGAATGACATCTCCCTATGATTTTACATATAAAATTAAAAAATATATAATAAAAATCCAATAACACATGCAATTTTCGTTTAAATGATCTCAAATATTACAAAGGTAACCCTTAGAAAGTAAAGAATATTATAAAAGAATGCAAAATTTATATTATGACTTATAGGAGTCATCAGTTGTGTATACAAATAGGGTATAGGGGTAGACCCCCCCCCCCCCTCATAATAGGAATTTTTTATTATTATCTAAATGTGATTATTCTTTACCAGGTTAATCCCAAAACTAGTTGGGGTCTTTAAAACGCTTCCTGTCCTTTCATATGGCTCGGCTTTGCGCCATATTAACGACAATTTTCATATCTATTAATTATTGTCATAAGTTTCAGAGTTAATGCCTCCAGAAGTTTGGCTAATTTTTTAAATTTTTTGGTTGTTGGTGAAATTTTTTTTTGCCCCCTTATTTTACCATATTTTTTACCCCTTTAAACTATCTCAACCAGATTAAAGAAATAAATCGTACTAATTACACAACTTTTTTTTTGATAGTTTCAGAATTAGTGTTTTAAGCTTGGCTCACTTCAGCTCTTAGAATGTGACATCATAGCTTTCATTTTAATTATAACTCGTTTCTTTTTTGTGAAACCAGATATTTAGTTTTATATATTCAGTTCTGGTTGATCTATCATGTCAATTTTTTTTTATTTTGTTAATAATTTTTCATTATACTCTTTACTAGACGGAAATAAATTAATAACATACAATTAAAGCTAAGGCCGTGTCCTAGTTCAGCTTATTTCTAAACAGAAGCTCAATTTAGATTTTCGTTAGTTTCTTGGTGACTCTTTACCTAAATATCCATTTATTGCACACACTTAAAACAAACCAAAATAGGATGTCCTAGTATAAAATCTGTTTAATCTGAGACTAAATAAAAATAATGAAGCAGGGCACGGTTTAAACAATATATAAAATCTCAGAATAAATGCTTTCAGTCATTTTTTAAGCGTAAGGTTGGCCAATATTTTATTGTTACTAATTATTTTCTTTGCACTAGCCTCTAAACTTATTAAAGCACGAAAAATTGGCGTAGATTTAGAATTAGTGTTTCCAATTGTTCAGCCAAATTTTACCGGAGATGATTATAAAGATATTAAATATTTAAAAAAGGAAAATAAGTAATGAAAATCAAAAAAAATACACAAATTTTTTTACAAAGGGAACCCACATAGGCGGAATAAATGAGGTTTGGAAGTAAAGCCCTACCCCCCTTTATCCTACCCCCCCCCCCCCCCCCTCCCCAAACTTCTGTATAAATTTTGGTATGAAATTCTAAATACCCTCACTAACATTATCAATTTTCATACAAATAATGCGAAACTTAATTTATTAATATTTTTGAATTAATTACCGCTTTTTAATTAGTTATGACAGATATTATATTTTTTGAAAATATTTATAACGAATTATTTGTATAATAAAATAGGGACCTAGAAATTAAGAAATTGATTAATTAAATGATTATTATAAAATTTGAGTTTTATAAGGGGAACAAAAAATAATTTCTAAAACTTATGTTTTTAGTTCGTTTGGTGTCATATTATTTTTTTAATAATCATAGAATTAAGCACACCTTTTTGAAGGATATTTCGCCAGTTTGCTTACCGTCAAAATTGTATCGAGCAATAGCAACACCCTCTTCAGCGTTAGCATTTAATAAAGCGGCCTCCTCAATAGACACTAACACCTGATATTTAAGGAGTAAAATGTTAGAAATTTTAATTGTACCTTCACATAATTGGTTGGAAATATACCAATCATTCCTCCCTGTTCCCCCTCGTACCAATTAGGGTCAATTCGATGATGCAAATATATTATATCATCCTTGTTAAAAGATATTTCCCTGTTGACAAAATTAAATAAATGGTACATCAAATATGACTAATTATACCTAACGTTTTTCGCGACGAATCTAAATAATGCTCGAGCTTTAGCACGGATCATCCGTTTGTGCCCCCTAACATATTTCCCCTCGAACAAAGATCGCGGGCTACCCCCGGCTCCTGAAACACTATATCTGCGACAATTATTTAGATTAGAGCTAGTATATATGCCACCTCTGACCTCTGATGACATTCTGTGAGGGGATATCCCATTACAAACTTTTTTTTCTTCGTCGTTAGCATATACGAGGTTCATATAACGATTTACAGGGATGGGAGAATTAGATGATGGCCTTTAAGAAGAAAATTTGATTTTATATGAGGGAATTGTATTTGACTTACACATATCCATGCCTTCTTTGTTCCTGTTTCTTGTATTCTTCCCTGGCTTTTCTTAATTTCTCCTTTTCGATCCATTCACCCTTGATAGCAATAAGAATATCATATCATAGATATCAATAGAATATTTACATGCTTTAATAAGATTGATATTTTTTTAATGACAGTATACAACAAAAATGCTATAAATTATTTATACTTACTAATATCCGTTTCTTCAATGGCATAGCAATAAAAAGTAAATAAAATAATTTTAATATGGCAAGATAATATTAAAAATATCCTTGCGACAAATAACATAATTTAAAAATTAAATGAAAACCTTGTTTTTATAATTTTCTATTTTGAATTATGATTATAAATATTTCTAAAATTATCGAATTTTATTAGCGTGTTCAAATTTTTATAAAAACTTAAGGAATTAAATTCGTTATAAAGAATTTGCGAATAATTTGGGTAATCAATATTATTTCGCTTATAGTTATCTTTTTACATGTTCACATTATATAAAAAAATATATAACCATTTTGTGCTTATGTAACCGTTCATCAAATGGTTCGGGGGTCACTGTAGACATAAAACTTGTAGCGGGGCAATCTTGATAAAAATCTACATATGGCGAAGGGTCGAAAATGTTAGAGGTCGATTTATTGTGAAACACAGATTGGGGATGACCCAGATTCTTCGAATTTAATGCCAATATTTGTTCGCGTTTTTTATGAGCTTTTTAAAATAATAAATCTCGAATATTATTCATTTCCTACCAAATTTTCATTATTTATAAATGCAATGATGGCTTATTGTATGGGCTGGGCATGCGATAATTATTTTATAAAATAATATATTTTTTATACAAAGTAATGTCTTATGTTAAAAAATTATGCAAAAAAGCATGTTGTGTTGTAAAATGAATAATTTAGCCTGATAAGCAAAGACAGATTATGCGTATTAGTAAATGTATGCAGATTCTCGTTGATATTCCACTCCAAACCATTAACAATTTAAATATATTATAATTTACAAATTATAGCATTATAATTTACAAATTATAGCATTATTTACAAATTATAACATTATAATTTACAAATTATAGCATTATAATTTACAAATTATAGCATTATAATTTGATGTTATATCGTATCAGTTATTATTATAATGCTAATTATTTTTCACATTAAAATAATATTGTGCGTTAAACCGAAATTCATTTAGTTGATAATCGAAATTTCATCTAACAATAAATTTATTTTTAAATATATACTCAACCTCATTATCATAATTTAATGTATTATATAGCTGCACGTCAAAAATCATTATACATAGAATTCATTATTTCTAGTTGCTTGAATTATGAAATTCTATTCTAAAATTCACTCAAAATTAAAGGAAGCGAAGTGGAGTTAGAACCCTCTTATAATCAAGCGAGAATTTCAAAGCTTTAAAATTGTATATTTACATTTGGGTTAAAGTTCAAGTTTATAAAATAATATTTAAATTTAGTGTAAATAATTAATACTATATTAAAAATAATAAGCATAATTAAATGAATACTTATTAAGAATAATAAAATTATACTTTAATAAAAGAATTTAGATTAAAAAGAAAATTGAGAGAACGATATGATTCGAGTAATTTAATATTAGAAAGAGATGCATGAGAGCAAAAAAATGTAATAATTGCTGTACAAATTTTACCTCTATTCAAATAATATCGTTAAGCAATAGTACAAGCTTTAAAAAAACAGAATCTTTGATTAAATTATAATTATTGAATAACTCATTTTAGCTCAAGAGATTGGATATGTTCATAGCTAAAGAATTACTGCCCCAAATGTTTTGATATAAATTTTTTTATACATTATATGGAGAAATAATAATAAAAAAGATTGCATTTGTTATATAAGAACATCTGTAGAGGTGCAAGGTGCGAATTCAATTGAAATTATTTACAAATATATTACTATAAGGAGATGACGTTGTTGATCTAGCCCTAAGACCATCATATATATGTTTTTCCCTGAGGCACGAATGAAAAGGAGCTAAAGATGTGAACACAGAATAATTTATGGAAACATTATCATCATCGTTACCAGACTGAGCAGATTTTAAGATTTGATTATAATTATTTATATCCTTATCCCGAAAAAAGTTCAATTTTCTAATTCGATTTCTCTCAGCCAATCTTGATGGATTCTGATCACTAACTGTTCGCGTTCTTGAAATCATGTTATCAATTATGTCGATATTGGTGGTAGATATTATTTCTGGTGGATAGTTATATGTTTTATGACAAATGCCATTTCCCGAAATTATAATTTTTTTTGTTGAGCTAGTTTTAGGGTTTGATAATATAGAAGGAATTTTTTTTGATTCTAAGGATGTTATATTTGATTCTTGATTGATGCAGCCACCCCCAGGATATTTAGTAAAATCGATGTTTTTTGACAAAAACCCATCCTCTTTTTTGACAAAAGGACGAGGATCTAAAGTTAACAATCATGTCACACAAGAGCGATAATTGGTCGAGAGAATGAAATAGAGTTAGTAAAACGTTTAGGAATGATCACCAATAAGGATGATGTAACATGCGAAAATAATATTAAAAGAAAATTTGTTAATAAATACAAATGGCTTGTTATATTAGTGATTATATTAGGCATAAAGCAGAAAATTTATAATTAAGTTATTTTTGAATGCGAATATTTAAATTATTTATTTTAATAAAATATATACACCTCTATGGCATTTCTGTAATCCGGCGTATGGTACGTCCCCACCTTTTTGAACCTCTGAATACCACACGTGAATATCCTTATCCTTAGGAGAGATATGCATAGTGTCATCAATTCCGTCAAATGAATTGTCTATTTTTCTTGGATATGTTCTTTAAAAAAAAGATAGTTTAAGGATTAAAATCGAAGTTATATTGATATTAAAATGATATGAGAAAAAAAAAATGTTATGAAAATAATATATTAAAAATGAAGTTTATTGACCAAATTTTTTATAATATAATTTACATTTTTAGCTTAACATAATTATTTTGTCAAGCATAAATTACTTTAAAAAAAAATTTTTTTTTAGAATAAAATAATTTGTATAGAATAAAATTAAAAACCTTCAAGAGGTGACCACTCAATGGCGGTTACGCTTTGATCAACATTAAAAAAATATTGATAAAATTTTAATAGGATTTTTTCAGGGAGGGATAGGACAAAGCTAATTTAAGCGCTCTAAGCACCATGTTCTTACTCTTCTTTAGCGATCCCACCGGCTTGATGATTATATTCCTGATTAGAGGTCTGCATTGGGCTTGTTTTTTGACCAAAAGCCCGCCTACCCAATGTTTAAAAAAATTTAACCCGCCCGCCCGCCCATTAGGCTAAATTTTTTACCCGCCCGCCCATTATTTATAAAAAATTTTAACCCAAGTCCGCTTATAAAATTTAATTATGGCCATTCTTTCAATTTTTTAAGCATCTAAATAAAAATATTTCAGCATTCGACATTTTCTGGATTCAAACACGTTCTTCTTTGTTTTAAAAACCTTTAGCAATGCTAAATCCTCGTTCAAAAGAAGCCCCAGTTGCAGGAATTGCCAATATTTTTCTTGCTAATCTTGATAGCTTTGGCAAATCTCTTTCTTGTCGTTTCCACCAAAGTAGGATATCCGTTTGAAGTATATCCTCTTCCTCAAGTGAGATCCGGATGTCCCGTATGCAATATATGTAAAACTCTTTTTTGAAGTAAGTTCGGAATGATTAATCTGTCATTCCAAAATAAAATATTGTGCTATTTTTATAATCGTTTTCATGCTATTCGGAATAGTAACTGAACAAAATACTATACAGTTTTATAAACCGGACCCCGAGTTAATATTAGAAACAGATGCATTTAACCAAGGATTTGTAGCTGTACTCATGCAGAAACATGATAATGGTAACGAATTTCCAATAGCTTACACCTCAATTTACAAGACGGCGAAAAGAATTATTCTACAATAGACAAAGAAGCAAAAGCAATAATAAACGGCGTAGAAAAATTTCATGACTATTTGTATGGACGAAAATTTAAAATAAGAAGAGACCACAAACCTTTAATAAAGATATATGGTAATAACAAAGATTTAAGCTCATTAACAAACCAAAGATTATTACATTGGGCTTATAAATTATCTGCAAGAATGGCGCTAATAATATAATTGCAGATGCTTTATCGCGAAACCCAATAGAGAAAAATGATGATAGAATAACAAGCGTTGAAATATATAAATCTTATTTATGGCTCATTAACGCTATCAAGAAAAGAACTTATAGAGGAAACCGCAAAAGATCCAATTATAAGAAGAGTGAAATATTAATAAATGGTACAAATATACAAAATCAAGCACCAGAATTACAAGCTCTTAGAACAAGAATAGATGAAATATAAAATGTTGACGGTATTTTATTATGGAATGGCAGATTAATCATTCCGTACTCACTTCAAAAAATTGCAAACGGGACATCCGGGTGTTACATCAATGAAATCCATTACGAGACATTATATATGGTGGGAACAATTAGATAAAGATGTCGAAAAAATAGAAAGAAATATTGTAATTGATCATTTAATTAATTATGATTTTTCTTTAGTTTGTTTTGAACAAAAATTTTAAATTTGCTTAACCCGCCCGCCCATAGTTTCAATTTTTTAACCCGCCCACCTGCCCATTCTCGAAAAATTTTCTACCCGCCCATCCACCCGCCCACTTAGATGGGCGGGCCGTGCAGACTTATATTCCTGATCAACAAATTCGGTTACTTTCTCAGCCTTAATTCACTCATTGTGCGCGTTTTTTTTAAGTGTCAGAAATTTGATTGTATCGGAAATTTTTTCGTGATAGAATTGTATCCACATATGCTTGTTATATTTCCAGTATAAAATTCAATTTTTTAAAAATTTGAAAATTGGCTTAGTGAATTATTTCTAGCCGAAGAAAATAACACATCGCCGCATATTAATTTATAATTTGAAGTTTGAAATTATATAGGCTTCCTAGGAGAAGTAACCATGTTCTTGTTCATGCTAAATAAACGATTTAAGGATTGATTTGAATCAAATAAATTTTATATTAAACTCCAGCATTTATCTATATAAATAAAAATCAAAATTATATCTATATAACAGTTCTTATGATATCTATTAATAAAAGAAATAATTTATTTATAATGCATAATACGCGTTTTCTTTATTTCTATTATATTATACATAGGTTAATTGATTTTATTTATACAAATTTTAAAATAAGTATGCCAATATAACAGGCGCGTACGCAGCAAAGCTAAAAAATACAGATGCCGGATTATATTTTTCTAAAATATTATTGTTAATATTAATTTATATTGTTAATATTTATTCCTATTCTCATATATATATTTAATTACATTTATTTATCACATTCATCCACTAAGTTATTTTATCAATTAATTTCAATTTCAAGTTTTCCTTGGCGTAATATTTACCTATTATTTTCAAATTTTATTGGCGTATTATTTATCTAAATTTCTAGTCAAATAATAATTATCTCTGGAACTCTTTGTTCAACAGGGAGAAAGAAATTGCAAGTTTGTCCAACGAGATCGAGTCTCCGCCATCAAGCAGTAACAGCTTTTATGGAGTGACAAGAGCCGATTATTAATGCTATTACTGAAATATCACAATGGATTGAAAGAAATATTTCCTCAGAAGCAAGAAAATTATTGGAAACAATACTTATTACAATTTTTTTTCTCATTAGAATGTATTATTTAATTATAATACAACTATTTTATGCAATACTTTTCAAAAACATGACATTGACTTGATTAAGAAGATGAGAATAGCGGAGAGCATTTTATTAGAACTCAAGGAAATTAGAGCTAATTTTGATAAAGAATTTCATATTTTATATGTTATTGTTGAGTCAAAAGCAGAGCTATACGTGTTTAATATTTGTCCCCCTCACTTGCAGCAAGAAAGCTCATCGTCAAAACATTAATATAGGATCAGTAGAAGAGTATTTATTATAAAACAAATGTCCCCTCTCTTAGATACATTTATAACCCAAATATGAATGGTTTTTAAATCATCATGCAGCACTTACCAATCCACCGATATTACTCAAAAAAGCCTTAACAACCTTTTTCAGATGGTGATAGAAAAAAATAAATATATTTGTTAGATTTTTATTATTATGATGTTAAAATATTTTATGCCTTATTAGCTGAATAACTATGATTAAAAGATTAATATGGTTGATACAGTCCCAAAAAATGTTATGGATGCTTTGCATTATTTCAAACACATTTTATATTCTCAATGCATTAAAATGGTTATATATATTAGTAACTCTTCCCATTAGTAAACTAATGAGAGAACATTCTCTTTTTTAAGAAGAATAACAGAGCCCTGCAAAGGTACCATTTGCAGGGCACGGCCCGGATTTTTTTTTCAAAATTTTTTTCGACGCGGCCCGGTTTTTTTAAAAAAATTCAGGCCCGACCCGGCTTTTTTGAAAATAAAATTTTCAGGCCCGGCCCGAATTTTTTAAAATAAATTATATTTATTTTTGATTTCTATAACTAATAATGGCGATTTCAAATATTTGGTTTATATAGCCAGGCTCGGATATTTTCTTTAAAGAAATTTTCAGGCCCAGCTCGGGTATTTTTTTAAAAAAATTTCGGGCCCGGCCCGGGTATGTTAAAAATTAAAATACGGTCCGGCCAGGAGGCTGGGCCTGCAAGTCTCTGAAAAATATACCTATGAAGTACAAATTCTGAAAGTAGATTGAATGGTTTGGATCTTTTGAATATTCATAGACATTTAACGCCAAGCAAGGATGAGATAATTGAAAAATTAGCTCAAAACTTACAAAATACAATTATTCCTCCGAAACTTTTTGTGTATTAATTTATATTTCCAACAATTAAATTTTTTATACTTTATATATAAATTTTAAAGGCTCAAAAAATTCAAATTTCTTTGGGTCATTTAAGTAATTCATATCGTAGTTATATTCACTTTACATTTTATAATTCACATTTATTTTACAGTTTTTCAATGCCGGTTTATATATATAATTTTTTTGTAATTCACATTAATTTAAAATTGTGTATTAGAAAAGTTATTAGTCCTAATAAATTTATGCTTCATATTTTTAAATAACAATAATATTTCTTAAAAAATTTTATTATCCCCCCCCCCCCCCAATACCAAATTTTTGCGTACGCGCCTGCAATATGCAATATAATGATAAATGCCATTCAAGAGCCTACTATTTTAGCTTTTACAGAGTTGACTGACTCTATTAGATCTGATTTCGACCTTCGACGATTTAGTCCTTCGAGACTCTTTATAAATAGCAGGAAATTTACTTATACATAACATTAAGTAAGTCCAAAAATAAGGTTAAATTTTTAGTTCCAAAAAACATTTTCTCTCGAATCCTATTAAGAAGATCTCCTACCCTCCCCCATAAGAAGTGATAAGAAAAAGGAAGTTTTTTTAGAATTTATAGACGTAATTCAAATGTGTTTTAGCTAGCTTCCCTGGTAATATTTTATCCACTCTACGGTCGAAATTGAAGCTTAAAATATAATAAATCTTTCATTATTTTATAAATAAGAAAAAACCTTGGCATTAACCTTAAATGTAATAGTTTAAAACTATTAATTTTTACTTAAATAATAAAATGCTATATTGAATCATTTTAAACTTCTCATCAATAAAAAAATTAATTTGTTGCGGTAATTTCAATATAATTAAAAATTTTATTATACATTTGGCAAATTAAATTTTTATTCCAAAAATGTTTAATTTTTCTTACCTTCTTTTGTGGATACGAATTATATACGAGTATATCAACACTTTATTAATTTTTCAAAAGAACTATCAGTTCCTAATTATACATATATACAAATTTTAAAATTATGCTTTTATTCTTCATAAATATCGATTTTATTATAATACAAAAGAAAAGATAATTTATTTTCTCAGTGAAATAAAGCCATATTATTATATAGACTCAATAAAATCCATATGAGTTTTTAAATTAGTAAGAGATCTTAATATTTATTATAATTATGACATTAAAAAATATTGATTTATTAATATAACTCCATTCCATGAATTAACTAATTACTCTTAAATTATCCTTATATATTATTAAAATAATAAAAAAAAAAATAAAATTCGAGAAGATTGGTAGCAATAGCGAGATTTGATTAGGGAAAAAGAGGCGTAACGCATAAAATCTTGGGACCCTTTGCAAAATTTTTTGGCAGGGGCACTCTCGTGCCGTGGGTGTGCCTGTTGCACATCTGACTGATTGAAGCCTGAGATATTCCACTTAGGAATGAATAAATAAGGGGATAACGAATTTGGGTCGGAGAAGGAATTACTAACCATCCATAAATGAACCAGGATAAAGAAGAAAATAATCAACGTGAAAGAGAAGACCATTCAAATGATACTAAATTAAACTTTTTTTCTTTTTTTATAAGTGAATTTTATATAAAAAAAATTCAAAACAAAAGATATATAGAAAAACAAATCAAGCTTACAGAGAAAAAGATATAACGCATATGCATAATAATTTTAAAAAAAAATTAGGTAATAATAAAGGTGAGATAAGTCTGATAAACAGCCATAGTAATGGCTTGTAAATAGAAAGTTTCATTATGATCGCCACTAATTTGGCTTAATTCTCTTATAAGAATGTGATAAATTTATGGAATTCTCCACCAAAAGCATCAAGATTATTGGTGACAAGTGGGAAAAAACGTTAGCGATATCCTGAATATTAATTTATTTTCAAGGTTTCTGCAAAATAAAAATAAAAATTTTTTTTTTATAATGTTGTCACAAGAAATATATATGAATTAGTGGCATCACTACTTAGCACGCCTAGATAATAAGAGAACAGCTGAGATGAGATAACATGGGGGTAGTTCAGATAAAAAAAAGGTACATGTGGCCTATTAAATTGGACGTTACGACATTCAGGTGAACTAGAGTCTTTTGAACACACTAATATACTGCCTCAAAATTAATTGGGGCTAAATGACACTCGTAGTTTCCTTATCTATTTCTATATGTCAAATATTATTTATGTTAAATTATACAGTTTATTTTTTTAGAATTGTAAGCTGTATGAGTTAAGTAAAATATAATAAAGGAATATTTTGATACTTCATTATGTTTTAATATACAGGGTTTCCCATTCAAAAAAGGAAAAATTTCAATCATAAAAGGAAAAAAGGTCCAAACAAAAAAGGAAAAGGGTCAATCAAGGAAAAGGTTCAATCAAAAAAAGAAAAGGTCCAAACAAAAAAGGAAAAGTGTCAATCAAAAAAGGAAAATTCCCAAAAAGAAAGGAAAAAGTTTGATCAAAAAAGGAAGTGTCAAACAAAAAAGGAAAAAGTCCAATCAAAAAAGGAAAAGTATCAATCGAAAAAGGAAAATTCCCAAAAGGAAAGGGAAAGTGTCAATCAAAAAAGGAAAATTCCCATTCAAAAAAGGAAAATCGTAATTTTTTTAAAAAAAATTAAAATTTTAAATTTTTATTTATTTTTGCCATTCCTTCTTATTTTACAGGGTTTCCCATTCAAATAAGGTAAAGTCCCAATCAAAAAAGGAAAAAGTTTCAATTATAAAAGGAAAAGTGTCAATCAAAAAAGGAAAATTCCCAAAAAGAAAGGAAAAAGTCCGATCAAAAAAGGAAAATTGTCGAACAAAAAAGGAAGAGGTTCAATCAAAAAAAGAAAAGTGTCAAACAAAAAAGGAAAAGGTCCAATCAAAAAAGGAAAAGTGTCAACGAAAAAGGAAAATTCCCAAAAGGAAAGGAAAAGTGTCAATCAAAAAAGGAAAATTCCCATTCAAAAAAGGAAAATCGTAATATTTTAAAATTTTTCTTAAATTTTTATTTATTTTTGTCATTCCTTCTTATTTTATTTCTAACTTTTTGCTATTTCTTTACTTTATTTGTATCTTTTCTCAATTTATTTTTCTTACTATATCTTTTCTTAATTTTTCTTCTTCTCATTTTTGATAATTCTTTTGTATTTTTAAAAATAATTTATAAATTTAGGTTTATTTTTTTTTAACAATTCTTTACGTTTTTTTTTCATCATACATATGTCGTAATTTTTAAAGGGATCATAACTTTCCGGGATCTTCATGGGATTTAAAGGGATTCCTTTAAAATTTCAATTTTTAAAGGATAAAGAACTATACGGCATTATCACGTTTGAATCATGATATAGAAGAATCTTATTTTAAAAAGCGTTTTCCGCGCGTTTCGTTTTTTAATTTCATTGTTATTCATTATTTTTCAATGTTGTTTTTTTTGGACTTATGAAATAAGATATGTCTTATATAGGGTATCAATCGATAGCTAATCAAAAGATCTATTAACTGGAGGTTAATCTCTCCCCCTTAATGGGCGAGTCTAGGTCTGGGGAGTCAGGAATATTTTTAACAAATAAAATATTGATATGGGTATCAAATAATAGCTAATTTTAATATCTTTTGACTGAAAGTCTTCATTCTTGGTCTTGATGGGTATGAATTGGTCTGGGGGGTAGATGGAGGGGTGGGGTGTAAAAAATAATTTTTTTTGATATGGGTATCAAATAATAATTAAAATATTTTTTTTATTGTAATAATAATAATCCCTCATACCGGACGGGTTTAGGTCTTGGGGGGGGGGGGGTCAGGAATATTTTTATCAACACAAAATATCGATAAAGGTATCAAATAAAAGCTAGTTTAAATATCACTTGATTAATAATTATACTAAGTAGGTGAGAAATCTTAGGTGATCAGGAATATTTATATAAACACAATATTGACATAGGAATCAAATAAAAGGTATTTTAAATATCTTTTGACTGAAACTCTTTATTATCTTAAAGGGTTGGACTTGTTCTGGGAAGGGGGGGGGGTAAAAATAAAAATTTATATGGGTATCAAATAATTAGTAATTAAAAAATCTTTTGATTATATTTATTTTATCAGGCTAAGCGGGCATCTTAAGATGTAATGTGTCATAGTTGGGAGATTTTGGATTGGGAGATTAGGAACCTAAATATAAAATAGAAATATAATTAAATACTAAAATTATAGTTTTGAATCCTTTATTAAATAATAATAATTAATTATAAGTTATATAAATTAATATAAAGGGAAAACATAAAAAAAATAAGAAATAAAATTAATTTAAGAAAAATCAAAAGATCTATTCAACTGGAGGTCAATCTCTCCCCTATAATGGGCGGGTCTAGGTCATGGGGGGTCAGAAATATTTTTATCAACACAAAATATCAATATGGGTATCAAATAAAAGCTAATTTTGACTGAAAGTCTTCATTCTTGGTCTGGATGGGTATGACTTAGTCTGACGGTGGGGGGAGGGTGTATGGAGGGGGGGGTGTAAAAAATAATTTTTTTTGATATGGGTATCAAATAAAAGCTAATTTTAATATGGTTTGACTGAAAGTCTTTATTTTTGGTCTAGATGGGTATGACTTTGTCTGGGAGGTGGGGGTGAGGGGGTGTAAAAATAATTTTTTTTGATATAGGTATCAAATAAAAGCTAATTTTAATATGGTTTGACTGATAGTCTTCATTCTTGGTCTTGATGGGTATGACTTGGTCTGAGGAGTGGGGGGGGGGTGTGTAAAAATAAATTTATTTGATACCCATATCAATAAAATTATTTTTACCCCCCCCCCCCCCTTCCATACACCCCCTTCGCCACACCCCTAGGCAAGTCATACTCACCCAGACCAAGAATGAAGACTTTCAGTCAAACCATATTAAAATTAGCTTTTATTTGATAGCCATATCGATATTTTGTGTTGATAAAAATATTTCTGACCCCCCAAGACTTAGACCCGCCCATTATGGGGGAGAGATTGACCTCCAGTTGAATAGATCTTTTGATTAGCTATCGATTGATACCCTATATTAGACATATCTTATTTCATAAGTCCAAAAAAAACAACACTGAAAATTAATGAATAAATTAAAAAACGAAATGAAACGCGCGGAAAACGCTTTTTAAAATAAGATTCTTCTATATCATGGTTCAAACGTGATAATGCCGTATAGTTCTTTATCCTTTAAAAAATTGAAATTTAAAAGGGATCCCTTTAAATCCCATGAAGATCCCGGATAGTTATGATCCCTTTAAAAATTACGACATATGTATGATGAAAAAAAACGTAAAGAATTGTTAAAAAAAAATAGACCTAAATTTATAAATTATTTTTAAAAATACAAAAGAATTATGAAAAATGAGAAGAAGAAAAATTAAGAAAAGATATAGTAAGAAAAATAAATTGAGAAAAGATTCAAATAAAGTAAAGAAATCGCAAAAAGTTAGAAATAAAATAAGAAGGAATGACAAAAATAAATAAAAATTTTAGAAAAATTTATAATTTTTTTAAAAAATTTTTTAAAATATTACGATTTTCCTTTTTTGAATGGGAATTTTCCTTTTTTGATCGACACTTTTCCTTTCCTTTTGGGAATTTTCCTTTTTCGATTGACACTTTTCCTTTTTTGATTGGACCTTTTCCTTTTTTGTTTGACACTTTTCTTTTTTTGATTGAACCTTTTCCTTTTTTGTTCGACACTTTCCTTTTTTGATCGGACTTTTTCCTTTTTTGTTTGGACCTTTTCCTTACCCTGTAATATATTTTTAAAAGCTTTAAAAAGGGTGTCCTAGCTGATTTTCTGAATAGAATATGATCTATTCATATACAAAAAGCATAAAAATTGAAAATCAAAATTAATATTAAAAAAAAGATATAATGTATAATTTTAAAACATTACTTTGATTTGGGAAGGCTTTGAAAGTTCCCATAAATTGTTTTATCATCTTTCAATCGACAAGAGTAATCGCCATTTTCACCGGTGCCCTTAAATTTAACGTGTAAAATTGATTTTGATATTTGTATAAGAAGTATTGTAAGATGAAAAATGTTTCCATAAAAAAAAAATCACGCCATGAAAAAAAAATATAATTGAGTTATCATAAATTTTCAAAACTTTATATTTTGTAAATAAATGAAAAAGTAATATTTTCAAAAAAATATAATATGCTTGTTATAAAAAAATTCTTTTTGCTTTTTATTCTTAAGGTAAATATTTAAAATATATATTTTTTTAAAATAATCTTAGAATCAAAATAAATTATTTACAAAAGTTTTTCGAAAAATAGGAAAACCAAATTTAATAGAGTATCATATTAAGATCAAATTTAAAATATGGAACAGGATTAATCAATCGCAGAGCTCTACAAATATTTGATATTGATATAAAAATAAGTAGAAATCAGAGTTATGATTGAACAGTAGGTATTCTAGTAAAGTCCAAACATGTATCAAATAAATTGAATCTAATGCCGAATCTAATATTTTTTTAAATGGATTTTGAAATCAGAAAATTTTCTATTATTTCATGGAAAAAAATTAAACAAAAGGGTCCACCAAAGGGGACTGTTTGAGTAATGAATGGATGCGGCGGGAGGTTTAAAGATCTGCAAAGCTATGTCGGCCCCGTTAAGAATTTGCGCACAAGTTTCAAGGGCACGCCCCATATAACATTTTAAAAATATTACTTGGCCTCGCCTGTAAAAATTTTAAAAAAAGTTAGGTCCGACCCTGAGATTTTTTATATCTATAACTAATTTTTTCTTAAAGTGGATTAAAGTTTTTATATCTTTCCTCTATGGCTATCTATTTCTTTCTACAACAACCGCTTTTTAAATTAATTGTGTTTAATATCTGTATTGAACATTTGTAATTTTATCATATCATAAATAACTTGTATAATATTTAGTATTTTAGGTAGACAGCTAGTATCATACAAAGAAATAAGAATATTGTAATTTATTTTCAAATAGTATAACCAAAATATTAGTTTAAATTCAAAAAAATATATCAATATTAATGCCCGAGCCAATTAAAATTTTATGAAAAATTAGAAATTTACGAAGCTGCCTAATTTTTTAAGTGTAAAATGTTTGGCCCGGCCTGAATACACGAATATGCAAGTTCTTGACCTTCGGACGGGTAGGACAGATCTATAGGGAGGAGGCTTTCTGCCCCTTATCAAATTTGTCAGTTTTCTTACATATCATTTAGATAATCGGCTATTCTAAAACCATCGGCGCAGTAAAATTTTAGCATAATAAATTAATAATTCGAGAAAAAAAATCCAAACCCCCCCCCCCAGGCTCCAATTAAAATTCTAACTGATGTTAGGCGATTTTTAAATGATATATAAGATATTTTTATAGTTCATACATTTTATATTACATTCTATTTGGATTATATTATCATGATTATCATATGTTTTTATGATTGATAGCAGTGGCGTACACTGGGGGGGGGCGTTAGATGGTGGCTGGAATTAAAATGCTGCATTGGAGAAAGATATTTACACCATATTTCCAGGTGGAATAAATGACCTGGGAGAAAGGGTGAGCTTTCAACAAGTTTTAAATATGGCTTTTATAATGGAAAGAGCTGAGAATGAAGTTACAAATATGATGGTAAAAAACATTAATAAACCTAAGGAGAAATTGAAGAATAATCAAGGAAATCCTTTTAATCTAAAGCACCCACATAAAATTAAAAAAGGAAATTTTAATTATTACAATAATAATAACAATTATAAGTACAGAGATAATAGTAAATTGAACAATAATGATATGAGCAAGAACAATGACTGTTCACGTTGTGGAACAACTCACACTTTATTCCATTGTTTTTCATCAAGGATGAAATGTTACAATTGCCAAAAGGGAGGGCACTATGCAAAATACTGTAAAAGGACGTAAGCTACCTGTTATACATTAAGATGATAATGAATCATCAGATTCAATTAACAACATCTCCCAAATTGGTAAAAACAGTGCTAAGATATCAGCTAAGATAAACGGAGTACCGATTGAATTTGGTTGTGATACGGGTGCAGAGATATCAGTAATTGGAAAACAATATTGGGATGAAAGGCAGACCAAAACTTGGACCAACAAAACCATTGTCAGTTTACGGCAATCAACAGCTGGACGTCCTTGGGTGAAACCATTGTAAGAGTCCGATCATTAGCAATTGTGGTTACCCGTTCAAATGACATATCGCTGTTTGGACTACCATGGATACTGGCATTTAATATGTTTATTCTACGACAATACGTAGTAGGGGAGACCGGGGTTATGGCAAACCCTAAAAGGCATTAATAAAATTAAAAGTACTATATCATTTTTAACAAAAATTATGTCATTTTGTTCAGCTCAATTAGTTTGGTTTAAATTTAAAAATCCATATATCTAATACTTTTTTCAAAATTTTATTTTTTCTGGAATTTTTTTTTTGGGAACGAGTGAACCCTACCCCGGGACGAACGAGCCTTTGATCGGGGTATTATAAGCTCTGCTTAATTTTCCAAAAGTTTTTTTTTATTAGAACATATTTTATGTTAAAGCATAAAAGTAATATATAAAATCATTTATAACCAAAAAATGGGAACATTATTCACAACCTTTGCAAATAAAATAAAGGATTAAAATTAATTAAGATAATATTTTGAAGTATTTATAATATCAATTTTGTTCGGGTAAATTGATATTCTATAAAATAGGATTTCTTCTTTTATATAAGATGATTTTTGGGTGGTAAAAAAATGTATATTAATCTTTATTTTTGAAAAATAGTAAAGGTTTATAAAGTTATGCAGGTATGAATTATATAATGCATTATAAAAATTATTCAAGCTGTCCGATAGAAACAAAAATTATAGCCGCATATGCATTATATAATTATATAGTTTTGGTAAAAAAATTATCCCTTTTAAAACAAAATCACATCTCGCTATAACCCCGCGTTCATTATATCCCCGGTCTCCCCTATAACAAGTAAAGATTGCTATCATGACTACAGAATTTGTCAGTGTTTTCGATGATAAGTCAGGACTAGTTAATGATTTTGAAGTTAAGTGGGGCAGCAAGGCCGAAATCATATCCAGCACGTAGATTACCTTTTCTATTACGAAAACCAATTGAAAATGGAACTCGATAGATTGATTAAATCAGGAATATTGAAGGAGATTTCCCCAACAAAAACGCGTATAATGTGGGCTACTCCAACAGTAAACGTGCGCAAAACAAATGGAGAAATCAGGATTTGTGCTGATTTTAACGTTACATTAAACCCATTTATCTTATATGATTACCATATAATACCAACTGTTGATGATCTACAGGCCAAATTACAAGGGGGGTTGAAATTTACTGTCATAGATTTATAAGATGATTATTTGCAGCTACAAATAAAAGAGAGCTCAAAGGTACCTAACTATATCAACCCTATTGGGTATTTTCAATATCAATATATGCCTTTCTACTGCGCCGACTATTTTCCAATGGAGAATCTATTACAGGACTGCCAAATGACAGGAATATACCTGGACGATTTTATCATAATGGGAAAAAATGATGTAGAACATTTGAACAATGTGAAAGTATTAATGAAATTAAAACAGGTTGGTATGAAGGCAAAATGGACGAAAATACGTTTTTTAAAAGAATCAGTTTCTTTTCTAGGATCTGTAGCAGATGAAAATGGCATGCACCCAAGCGAAGGAAAAATAAATGCTATTCGAAGGATACCCAAATCCTAAGAATATACACCAATTGCGATCTTTTTTTAAGACTTGTGAATTATCACGAGAGATTTTTACCACATTAACATGGTATAGCGGCTCCACTGCATAAATTAACAAGTATTAAAAGTTCCTGGGGTTGGTCTGACAGGGAACAAGATGTATTTAATAAAGTAAAGCAGCTTTTGTCAAAAGATAAAACTTTAATTCCTCATTCGTCAAACTTGCCAATCATATTGGAATGTGACGTACTTTACGTAGTTGGGTTTTAGAGACATATCGCATTTGCTTGAGAGTCAGAGAAAAATTATCAATAGAAAAAGAGGTACGAGCACTTTTGTTTGGAATGGAAAAATTTGATACTTTCATTTTTGGACGAAAATATTGTGAACAGATCACAAACCTTTGGAAAAATTATATGGTGAAAAATGGGAACTACCAAAAATATCCAAAAGTCGATTAACGCGCTGGGCATGGAAAATTTTGGCATATGATTTTGAAATTGAATATCGTCCAGTAAAAGAAAACATAATGGCTGATACAGTATCTAGACTGTCAGTAGCAAGTATGGAGTGAAATTACAACCAGAAACATGCATTAAAAATTAGAGCTATAAATTTGCTAGATATAAATCTTGGTCAAGATGAACTCCAGAAAGAAACTATGAAAGATTGCCAAATAAAGTAATTTAAAACATTGAGCGAGGATGGTTGGGGTTTGATGTGAAAAATGATGCAGAGTTAGTTTGTCTTAATAATCGTCAGGAGGAATTGCCAGTAGATCGTGATGTCATTGAATGGAATGAAAAGTTGGTAATATCAACCGTGTTGAGAAAATCAATATTAAATATTATACACATGGGGCATCCATGAATAAATGATATAAAATCGATTTTAGAATGTATTGTTGGTGTCCTAATCGCGATAAAGACATTGAAAAACATGTTCGTCAATGAATGCCATGTCAAAGTAATCGGTAGAATATAATAGAGGTTCCTTTACATTCGTGGAAAACGCATTCAGCTAGAGCGGGACCTATCGATTCGTATTCATGGTTAGTTGATGCACATTCTAAATAGGTTGAGGTCGAGTTGATCGATTCGTATTCATGGTTAGTTGATGCACATTCTAAATAGGTTGAGGTCGAGTTGATGAGAGAGACCACGTCCACAACAGAGCGATAAGGAACCAAGACAAATTGTATCAGATAATGGCCCTCAGTTTATTTCTTAAGAATTTTGAAGATTCCATTTAGAGAAAAATATTGAATTAATACATTCAACACCTTACCATCCCAAAACGAATGGGTTAGCTGAAAGAACAATATGAACACTTAAGAATCGATTTTTAACACTAGAAAAGATATTAAGGAGCCAGAGGAAGCTATGGGAGAAGTTTTGATAGCATACAGAATGAGCGTGCACCGGTAAAATTAATGTTGGGGCGCAATCTAAAAACTGAATTAGATTGGTTACATTCATATGTTAAAGATTAGATAGAACGATTTAATATGCGACAAAACACAGCGCATTGAATATATTCAAATGAGGGAATTTGAGGTTTCACAACCTGTATTGGTACATATTTAATCAATTCAGGTTTGAGAGAAGGAATTATAAAATCCAGAACTGGTAGATATTCCTATTTGGTAGAAAGTAAAGATAGAATGATATGAAAGCATGCTGATCAACTGCGAAAACGGGATGTAGCAAAAGAAATGGAGAAGTCAGGGAGAGACGATGAAAATGAAGAAAATTTGGAATAGGAAATAATTGAGAATTTGGAAAATGGTGAAGAACCCTATAGAGAGAGATAACGGCTAACGGAAAAGAGTGATGTAAATTCGGGTTCACAGGATATGTTTTCATTACCTCAAGAATTAGAAACAACAATGAGGCGGAAATGACAACGATCGAGGAAGCCTACATATCATCTGGTTGAGGAGTTTTAAAATCTTAAGTGTGGGGAAATGTGATAAATGCTATATAAGATATTATTATAAGTTCATACATTTTATATTACATTATATTTGGATTATATTATGATGATTATCAGTTTTTATGATTGACAGCGATAACATATTTTCGTTATGTGGAATAAATGATTACACAAAATTACTTTACATACTTGTTATAATTAATATTTATCTTAACAATACCCCTTTTAAAATTATAGCGCTTCCAAACATGTAACTACACTACTTAGTATAAACCAATTGAAATCATAAAGCAGAATTAATTTTTCATATATGTAATTTCAAAATGTAATTATTTTTAAAAATATAATTAGAAACCTCAAAATAACGGTTATTTTGGGGGTCCACTGATTTCCTGTTTTTCGTCTTGATATTTATTTGGGGCGAATCGTATTTACATGATATTTTAGAGTTTTCATTCTTGTAACTCATATTGATTTTATCTTCAGTGACAACATAATTCCAAATTATAAGGTTTTATAATAAACAGATATTATTATAATAACTAAAATGCTATTCAAAATTTTATATTTCTGATATACGTTATTTGTAAATTAAACGAACGAGTCGTTGAGTAAAATAAAAAAAATTGAATCATATTATATTAATTTCATACTTTAATCTCATACCTTTATTGTATATTCTATTATTATTGTGATCTAAGACAAATGACTCCTCTTTTTGATAAGGGTTACATGAATAATTTTCAGAATCACCTTTATTTTTGTATCTGTTAATGCATTCATAATATTTATCGCTATCAATATAATCGTCATCATATTCAGCTGGTATATGTTGATATCTAAAATTAGACTTAGCATTCAAAGCATCCAGCTCATTATTATTGTAATGCAAATTTTTGGAACTTCTAGTTTCATAGCCATTATAAATACCCAAGTTTGGGTATCTGGTATGATTGTAATAATTTCGAGACTTGTCGAATAATTTGCTTCTCCTTTTTTTAAAGTAAAAAGTAAACGCGAATTTAATAATGGATAAAATTAGAACATTGATAGTATATAATCTCATTATATATATTTCACCTGTTATCTGAGCGTCTTTTATGCATATATTCACCTTCACTAAAATATTTCTCCTCTATAATTGTTTTGTTTGTAAAGGGTTGATATAAATTATTTAAAACTGTATATATATATTTAAATTATGGACAAGTCCGTGAGCGGGAAAGGAAAACGGACATGGGAAAATTCGACATTTAAAAAACTGCCAAATTTTGTTTCTTAATAATTTAAAAGTGAATTTTAATTGTATAAATATTAAATAAATTATACTTTATTACCTATTTCAAATGAGCTGCTTATTCACAAATCCCATTAATATATCTACCTTAGGTAAATTGGAGGGTTTTAAGGGTTACCAAATATATTCTAGCCCCGGACCTCCAAAAATGCCAATGCTATTAAGTAGGCCAAAAAATATATAGAATTTTAAGAAAAATCTATGTGCATATTACCTTGCATGTTTGAATCTTTTCCAGCAGCCGTAGGATTCAAGTGTTTGAAAATACTTTTGTACCAATCTCTTTGTTTATCCCTTTTTAAACTCTTTAAAAAGAATGATTTGAAATAAAACAAAGAAAATTTTATTTGATATTTTTTCCTTCAAATTTTTGCCAATTTTTTACGATTTGGTTATTTTTAAACATTTTTTTTGCGGCATCATAAGTAATGTTATTTATTTTTATTTTTATTCAAATTTTAGATTCTATATTAATTCAACCTAACTAATGTTAAAATTACGTGATAGGTTAGGTATACAGTATTATAAAGATAAGATTAAATTAATTAAAATTGCTCTAACGAATCAATCATTTTTTCTTTCTTCTTAGGTATATACGTAATCGATTATTATAAAATAAAGAACTAACAATTCAAGACAAAATTTTGATTTTTAAATATAAATATTATAATATATGATTTTCCATGAAGAAAATTTGATTACTCTTATTTTTATTAAATAAAATGTATTATACTCATAAAAAATAATTATAACATTTACCTTAGTCAAAAAAAAAGGTTAATGATATACATAAAATAAATGGTTAAATTTCTTTCTTTTAAAAAATATATTTATTTTTATATATTATTCTTGTTCAAACACGATATACATTACATTTCAATACTTATATATATACATTATAATTTATAATAACCGGAAAAAAATAAATTACGTTTAGCATTCTTGTGGAAAATGAATAGTTAAGACATATGACTAAATATTTATAAGTTAGATTATGAATCTTTGCCAATTGTATTTTTATATTTAAAAAGTAAAACTTATTAAAATTAAAATTTTAAAGTTATTCATTTTCAATATAATTTTATAACTAGTGAAAAATGAAGAAATTTTCAGGTCCACTTAATCCTAGACCAGACTGGACCGTCCGGTACTGAATTCATAAATTTTCTAATAATTTTTGTAAAGATTTATCATAATTTGTTTCAGGTATACTTTTTATAGCCCCATATTTAAATTTGTACAATTTAGTTAATCGGTATAGAATTGCAGTATTCTATATCCACTTTTTGAAAAAATTGATATTTTTCGCAAAATACATAAATATAAGTCAAGAATATCAATCCCAACAATAGAAATGCTAAAAAGTGATCTTTCTTTTCATATGATCCTTAATTTGATTTATATGTAAAAGGGAATCTCTGGAATTTTTTTCAAACTTAGTACATTGAAAATTCGTTATTTTGCATTTTATGTCCACATCGTCAGCATCTTTTCTTAAAATTGTTCTATAAATTTATTTCAACTGGTTATTTTTAAAATTCTATTAACCCTATTTAAAGATAAATATCATTGGAATATATTGTAATGTTGAACACCTTTGATGTATAAAAAATTTCTAACAAATTATTTATTAAAATACGGATTTAATCTAAATTATAAAAACCAATATTTTTTATAAAATATTATCCTTTGCTCAATTTTATTCATAAATTTAAAAAAAATTAAAATAAAATAAAATAAATAAAAATATAGAACAATCCTTGATCAATATTTTAATATAAAAAAAATTTCTAAGAATTAATACAAATTTGATCAATTTCTAGACTAAAAGTCTTCAACCTTTTCTCTTAACAAGCAATTTGTATGAGGTGAAATTCTCTGAATCATCTCTGGTAGTATTGGATTCTTCATTATTTTACCTTTTTCATTCTTGGGTCTGAATTATTTATAAATTGCCTAAGAACATCTAATCTTGATAATTAGTTTTATAATATAAGATTTTGGATTCTCATGGTCATACAGTATCTGCTTGATTAATGCCAGGATCTTGAACTTATATATAAAGTGGTTTGAGAACATCTCATATCAACCGTTTTTATAAAATAAAATTGAATTCTCAGCATCTGCTTGATTGATACCGGAATCTTGAGGTTAAAATTTTGAGAAATTTTTTTGCTTCACGAAAATCTTCAATTAGATGATAAACCTTAATTTGATCTATTGATAATTGGTAATAATTGCACTAAGTCTAAAGGATAGTAAAAAATTTTTTTAAAGGAGCGGTAAATATAAATATTATAAAGTTTCTATTTTGTTGAACACACGAATCTGATCTTAAAATAATTTCTATCATATAAGGAATATCTTGAAATCTATTTTATAATCTTTATTAAAGCAGAGGTGATATTATTTCTACTCTATGTTCTGATATCTTTTTCGACCATATGGCACAATATCCTCTTTGCTAATACAATGTGCTATTAGAATATAAATGCTTAATTTCATTCATTAAATATACGTTTAAATTTGGCAGTGCCAAAACATTTAGATGAAACATATCACGACGACCTATTTGTCATATTCATTCCATGGACATTTCCTTGCTTCCTTGAGGAATTTTATTCTCTCCCTGTTTTTATATTAACTGTAATGTCATTATCTGTTTGTTTCATTATATACTACTCACAGATGTTACTTATCCTTTGGAATTATTAAACCCTGAATTAAAATCGTATTTGAATTTATCCCGGTAAGCATATAATAAAACGGATAGTATATATTTTTTATTTACAATTATTTAAATCCATTTTCACATATAATCTTTAAATTCAGGTGTTGTAGATAATCTTTATTAGTTGCATTCCTTTTGTAAATTTAATCACAGGAAATGATCTGATGTGAGTTCAAACTCACTCGTCATTTCTTAGGTATTTTTTTTGATGTTAGCACTTTTATAGGCTATGGAGATAGAGGTATGTGAAAATTATTTATTTTTTCGAAGAAATATGAATTTGTTTGCTGAGATTATATAGTTAACAGGAAAAAAAGGTTTGGATACTCATACTTTTGCCATTGTAATTAAAATAATAAAAGTAAATTTTAGCTACAATTATTTATAATTTCCTCACATAACATTATTTTATATGGTGCTATTATATTAAATCTAGAGTTCCATAAATTTGAATTTTCTCATCATTATTTCTAGGCCAATCGTAATTTTTTTATTTGTTTTATATCAAAATTGTTATAGAATCCTTATGGTATTGTTGTAAGTATTATTAGAACGGAGAATTTTAAAGAAAATTCAGGTGTGCCAGTAGATAGTGTCCAAAAAATACACGTGCCGGGTATGTTTGTCATAGCCCAGCGAGGTTGCTAATTCTTATTCTTTTGTTAATTAGATATCTATAAATATATTTTTTATATTCACTGCGAAAATATCCTAGCATTTTATTAGTTTTTAAGATTATAATATACTATATTCATTTTTTTTAAATGATAGAAAACCACGAGATAAGATAAGATAGTATAATAATTCAATGGTTTAAATATATGCCTGTAATTTATTTTTTGAGGATTTAATATACACTATACTAAAAAAAATAATTAAATATTCTTTTAATAATTAAATTAATATTAAATCTTTAACCCTTGTTTTTTATCACGTCATTACTTGGAAGCCTTTGCTCACACGATAATGATTCCACGAATTATTACCGCCATAGCATTCCTGCTATCTCAAAATTATTACCAAGAACCGGAAAATTATGATTGCTAATGTATTAGAGCGAATGTATTACAGTTAAAACATTGTCGTAAACGGGTAACCGTGAAAGACTAACCGTGAAAGCATTTTTAGCCAAGACCAAGTGCAGGTTTAGGTTCTGATAGATAATAATAATTAATAGATACTAGTCGGTAAAATTATTCTGATAATGATGGCTGGCCAGTCCGTCGGTTATATTAATTTTTAATATTAAATATATATAGAAAGATGTCGATTAGTTTCACCAAAATTAATCATGGTCCAGTGAAGAAGGGTCCAGGCAGGGAAGCAAGGGAATCATTTTTCCCACGTAATTTTTCTTTAAAAAATTATTTAAAAAGATGAATAATATTTTTACTATGTTAGAAAAATTATATATTAGAGAAAGAAATTGATTATTTTTAAAATAAATATAATGAAAAAATCATTGCAATATGATAAATATTTCGTTTATTACCTTAATTTAATAAAAATATAAAGATTGGAAGCTATGTCCTAGGTCGGCTTAATTTGGATACTTAATTGCTTTTTAGATTAGGCTAAATATTTGATCGAGGACACTCTATGTTTATTTTAAGTATTTGGTGCATTGTTATTTTTCGTATTTTATTCTCGTTTTTTTTGTTTTTTGGATATATATTTTTTTGTTTTTTTAAAATTTTTACTCTTGTTTTTTGGCGGGTATTTAGCCGATACTTAAAAGACGGCTAAATAGCCAGCTATTAAGTATTAAGCCGACCTAGGACACAGCCTGGAACTAAATATAAAATTGTATGATGTTAAAATTTTACGTATAAAAAAATGTGTTGGAGTAGCTGCATATTTTTTGAATAACTATATAGGACGTCAGTAAGAGTCCCGAAGTGGTTAATATCAGCAATAAAAATAGGTTCGATCAGTGGCCCTAAAATATTAATGTTATATTTCCTTTCTATCTTTCTCGCTTGCCTGTTTGAATATCACAATCATAAAATGAATTTAAAACAGATTTTTAAAATATTGGATGGCGGGAAATATTTACTATATTCATTTTCTTATAATACTTTTTTTAATATTTAGAATAAAATTATTAAATTATCAAAGCTATAGCTGAATATTTTAATTAATGCACTACATTAAAATAAAGAATAAAATAAATAGTTTTTATTCTTTTATAAACCTCTTTAAAAATATGGGCCGCAGGTCGCAATAAGACACGGACCGATTTAAAGAAAATTTACCACCAAGCCGCAGATGGATTGGGCATGATTTTTTTTGATTTTACAGGTATCCAACATCAGTTAACAAATAACAATTTGTTAAACAACGTCAAAATATTATAAAATACAATAACATCCATTTTTACTATGATATTAACAGATGGATGCTTAATTAAAAAGAATAACCTGACGTATATCTACTAGTAAATAACCTGGATTCGAATCAAGGTCGAATTGAAGCTTTCTGTGCTTCCCCAATCAAGGTATGTCTCTAGCATCTGAGTTACACACGCGAAAATAACGAATATTTTTTTTGTACATAAGGATAATTTAAGATTTA